TTGTATCTTCATTGTAACTGTAATAACTAATAATTACTAATAAAAAGTCCCCAGACCAAGGAGGTCACCTTAATACCAAAAAAAAAAAAAAAAAAAAAAAAATTAGAAAGTGGGCTAGCAAGAAGTTCTGTTATATATAATATAGATTTTTTGTTATTAAATCTGTTATATCCATTTTAAATTACTATTAAAAATTTGGTACTTTAAATTTATTCTGTTAAACCCATAAATCTGGTATAAGGGTGTCTGTTATATCCATAGTTGACAGTATATTATTCTTATTATCTATTTGAATTACTCTATATCTAGCTCTATGGTCCTCTTTTTCATCTCTTTCAAGTAAGCTATCAGTATAAAATATTAATTTTCTAAGTTTTTGGTTTTCTTTAACTACACCTACTAGTTTCTGTTATTTGCTAATATTTACTATTGTATATATTTTTGATTAGATACTCTTCCTAGTTTTGGATATAAATTAGCTACTAAAATTCTGTTTCTTCTTGAATCAGAGTTTTCTCTTTTGGGCTACCAAGTCTCTAAGATGTTTTAGCTTAATTGATGCTACCCAACCTCTCTTACTTCTTCTCTTAATTCAGGTGCATATCTTCGATTTCTCTTGCTTTGACTTTTATAATGTTGGTAGTAGAGACTATTTCTGAGTTTAGCTTGCTATTATAATCATTCTTTTTGTTTTCTTCATCCCATTTAGTTACTTGAACTTTTTTACTTGGGAGTTTCTTTTCTATTTTGCCAAAAAAGCATGATTCTGCTTTATCTTTGTTTCTGATTATCTATTCTTTTTTTGATTTCTTGTGTGATATATTGATTTTTTTGGGTTTTATATGTTTGGTGTTTATTGTGTTTATATATGCAAAAGGCTTTTTTAATTTTTAAGAGGACTTATCTTTGAGTACTGTGTTTTCTAGATTTTGGAACTATACTAGTATACATCTTTTGGTTATAAGACCTCTAATTCTACAGATTTGTTGTTAAATAAATAAAGTGTTATTTTGTTGTGAAGTTATTTGTACAAAAGAGATGCCACTTTTTTCCAGATTATTTTTGTTAAGTAGCTTTCTTATTTCTTTTAGATTATTTTTGCTTTGGGCTATAGCTCAGCTTTTTTTTTAACAAAAGCTTTTGATATTAATACCTAGTCCTTTGGCTACTATTAGTATGCTAATATTAAGATTGTTTTTTTACTTAAGTAATTTTAGTTCATCTTTTTTTAAAAGCCAGATAGAGGTTGTAGATCTTAGTGATAGCTAGGCATTTTTGAGCCGCATTCTAGTAAAATTGTCTACTAGATTTGAATTGTTGATTCTGATTACCTATTCTGAGATTATGTGTTCTGTATAATATTGCCATAGTGAGTTAATTCCCTATATATTTTCTTGTGTTGAAATAGAGTTTGATGCTATTGAAACAAGTTCTGCTTTCTATTTTGCCATCTTTAAAACTAATTAATAAAGTTTTTTGTATTTTTTTTTTAATACAGGATTGTATTGAGTTTGTATTCTGCTTTAAAAAGTATTACTATATTGTTTATATAACTTGTATACTCTATTGAAATTTTTTTACTTTGTAGCAAGCTTGCAATCTGCTTAATTTCAAGGCCAAGTTTCTTTTTAGTTATTTGTCTCATATCATTAGGGAAAATCCAAACTCCTAGATATTGTGCTATTTCTTTCTTCCTTTTTGCAGTTATTTTTTCTTTTACTTTTTTAATTG